ATAAGAATATATATATATTTTCTGAGTTGGAGTCTCAGTCAGTCATCCAGGCCACCCCTGGGTTGACCTACTAGGCTCTGGCAATCCTTCCATTTCAGTCTTCCAAGTAGCCAAAACTACTGGCGCTACCACTCCCAACTGATTTTTTATTTATTGTTGAATGAGGTCTCGCCAGGTTGCCTGGGTTAGTCTTGAACCTGCAGGCTCAGGCAGTGCACTTGCCTTGGCCTCCCAAATTGCTGGGATTACAGGCTAATTTACTGAGCCTGGCTGATAAGAATATATTTCTAGACAGAATTTTGGCAGCAGCTCCTGTTACATCTGCCAGCATATCCCAAAAATGGAACTTTCTCAGGATCCTTTATGATCTTTCCTATGAGTTCCCCCTTTGGCTCATGGAGGGAAATATTACAGGAGCACACAGAACATCTGTATCTATTGCAGTGGAAGGTTAGCTTCTTGGTCAGCCTTCATGGAACCCCAGAAGTGTTCTGTTTTTGTTTTGCATGAGTATGTGGATGTTGTGAAACATGTTTTCGGTTATGTGAAACTACTTTTGGCTAGAAGAAACAGGCTTTTTTTTTCTTGGAGCTCTTTTTGTTGCTGGCTCCAGGTTGTAGGTTTCTTCAGCACTCTGTCTAGGATGTATGGGAAGCAGAAAGAAAAGCTTTGGAATTCTCTGCTGTGTCATTTCCTAAGACCTGAGGTTCACATTTTTCTATTTTGTAGAGTCTTTGTATGTTTGTTCATCTTTTTTTCTTGCAAGGATTTTTAGTTGTAAGAAGGAAGATCTGGGAGGAAAGGGCCTACTCCATCTTGGATGAAAAGAATACCTATTTCTTTAAACATTATGGATCAGGAACAAGAAAAAGTATCTGTCGGTGTACGTTTTTACTCTTTGGAAACATGACCAGAAACAATAGAATAAAATACATAACAAAACATGGGTAAAAGTCCCTCTCCATGAAAAGTGTAAGATTTATAATATGTTCCAATTTCTTTCATTTTAGTATATTATAAAATTGATGACAACGTCAAAGAGATCCAGGAAAAACAAAAGAAGCCTCTGTGTCAAGTAATATTCATTGATGACAATGATAAAACATTGAGTAAAGAAGAACAGAAAGCATACCTCATTCAGTATCAGAGGACTCATTCAGGGGAGAAACTTCAATATGAAGAATGTGGGAAATCCTTTTGTACAAGTTCACACTCTATTCAGCATTCTGGAGCTTATGTGGGATTCAGACTTTATGAATGTAATGAATGTGGGAAAACTTTCTGTCAGAAGTCAAACCTTAGTGAACATGTGAGAATTCACACAAAGGAGAAAACTTATGGTAACAATGACTGTGGAAAAATCTTACAGGTCATCCCTTGTAGGACATCAGAGACTATAAAAAAGATGAATCTCTGTGAAGGCAGTGAATGTGGGAAAACATTCTTCAAGATGGCATGTCTCAAAGAACATTGGAGAATTCCCACTGAGGAGAAACCTTATGAATGTATTGAATGTGGGAAAACTTTTACCTGTCCTTCAGCCCTAAAAGCACATCAGAGAATTCACACAGGTAAGAAACCGTATGAGTGTACTGACTGTGAGAAAATTTTTGCCCATATTTCAGCCCTCAGAGCACATCAGAGAATTCACACAGGGAGAAACCTTATAAATATAAAGAACGTGGAAAGTCTTTTGCCCGTATTTCTGTTCTCAGAGCACATGAAAGAATTCATATAAGTGAGAAACCCTATGACTGTAATAAATGTGGGCGATCTTTTACCTACAATTCAGCTCTAAGAGCACATCAGAGAATTCACACAGGTAGGAAGCCCTATGAATGTAGTGATTGTGAGAAAACTTTTACCCATAATTCAGCCCTCAGAGTACATCAGAGGATTCACACAGGGGAGAAACTTTATGAGTGTAATGAATGTCAGAAAACTTTTGCCCATAATTCAGTGCTTAGAGCACATCAGAAAATTCACACAGGGGAGAAACTCTATGAATGTAATGAATGTGGGAAAACTTTTTCTCAAAAGACACACCTCAGTAAATATAGAATTCACACAGGTGAAAAACCCTATGAATGTAGTGAATGTGGGAAAACTTTCTCTCAGAAATCATATCTCAGTGCACATGAAAGAATTCATACAGGGGAAATACCCTATGAGTGTAACATATGCAGGAAAACTTCTGTCTATAAGGCTGCCCTGATAGTGCATCAAATAATTCACACAGGGGAGAAACCCTATGAATGTAATGAATGTGGGGAGACTTTCTCCCAAAGAACACACCTCTGTACACATCAGAGAATTCATACAGGGGAAAAACCCTATGAGTGTAATGAATGTGGAAAACTTGCTGATAATTCAGCCAACAGGGTCCATCACCAAACCCACACAAGGGAGAAACCCTACAAATGTGATGAATGTGGGAAAACTTTTTCTGAGAAGTCATATGTTAGTGCACATCAGAGAGTTCACACAGGGGAGAAACCCTATGAAGGTAATTAATGTGAGAAAACGTTCTCTGAGAAATCATATGTTAGTGCACATCAGAGAGTTCACACAGGGGAGAAACTCTATAAATGTAATATATGTGGGAAACCATTTGCCCTTAACTCATCCCTTAGAGTGCGTCAGAGAATTCACACAGGTGTGAAATTCTATGGGTGTGATGAATGTGGGAAAACTTTCTGCCGGAAGTCACACTTTAGTGCACACCAGAGGACTCACACAGGGCAGAAACACTATGAATGTAATTAATGTGGGAAAACTTTCTCTGAGAAGTCATATGTTAATGCACATCAGAGAGTTCACACAGGGGAGAAACTCTATAAATGTAATATATGTGGGAAAACTTTCTCTAAGAAGTCACATGTTAGTGCACATCAGAGACTTCACACAGGGGAGAAACCGTATGATTGTAATATATATGGGAAATAATTTGCCCTTAATTCAACCCTTAGAGTGCATCAGAGAATTCACACAGGTGTGAAATCCTATGGATGCAATGAATGTGGGAAAACTTTTTCTAGGAATTCACACCGTAATGCACACCAGAGGACTCACACAGGGAAGAAACCCTATGAATGTGATGAATGTGGGAAAACTTTCTCTGAGAAGTCATATGTTAGTGCAGATCAGAGAGTTCACATGGGAGAGAAACCCTATGAATGTAATATATGTGGGAAACCATTTGCCCTTAACTCTTAGAGTGCATCAGAGAATTCACACAGATGTGAAATCCTATGGATGTAATGAATGTGGGAAAACTTTTCACCCAGAAGTCACACCTTAATGCACACCAGAGGACTCACACGGGATAAACCCTATGAATGTAATGAATGTGGGAAAACTCTCTGGGAAGTCATATGTTAGTGCACATCAGAGAGTTCACACAGGGGAGAAACCCTATGAATAATATATGTGGGAAACCATTTGCCCTTAACTCATCCCTTACAGTGCATCAGAGAATTCACACAGATGTGAAATCCTATAGAAGTTATGAATGTGGGAAAACTTTTTCCCAGAGGTCCCACCGTAGTGCACACCAGAGGACTCACACAGGACAGAAACCCTATGAATGTAATGAATGTGGGGAAACTTTCTCCCAGAAGTCATACCTTGGTGCACACCTGAGGACTCACACAGGGGAGAAACCCTATGAATGTAATGAATGTGGGAAAACTTTCTCTGAGGAGTCATATGTTAGTGCACATCAGAGAGTTCACACAGGGCAGAAACCCTATGAATGTAATGAATGTGGGAAAACTTTCTCTGAGAAGTCATATGTTAGTGCACATCAGAGAGTTCACACAGGGCAGAAACCCTATGAATGTAATGAATGTGGGAAAACTTTCTCTGTGAAGTCATATGTTAGTGCACATCACAGAGTTCACACAGGGGAGAAACCATATGAATGTTATGTATGTGGGAAACCATTTGCCCTTAACTCATCCCTTAGAGTGCATCAGAGAATTCACACAGGTGTAAAATCCTATGGATGTATTGAATGTGGGAAGACTTTCTCCCAGAAGTCACAGCTTAGTTCACACCAGAGGACTAACACAGGGCAGAAACCCTATGAATGTAATGACTGTGGGAAAACTTTCTCCCAGGTCTCACACCTTAGTGCACACCAGAGGACTCACACAGGGGAGAAACCCTATGAATGTAATGAATGTGGGAAAGGTTTTGCCCACCTCATAACTCTCAGAGTACACCACAGAATTCACACAGGGGAGAAACCCTATGAATGTGGTGAATGTGGGAAATTTTTTGTTCATAGGGCAGCTCTTAGAGTACATCACATCAGAATGCATACCAGAGAGAAAACCCTAACATCATGAATTTGAGAAGTCCTGAATTAGCTCATACCTTATTTTATACCACACAGCAGAGAAACTCTTGTCAGGAAGACTGGAAAATTGTTTTCCTTAACTTTTTCCATTTCCACTAGGCTCATAGCTTGTTGAAAATCCCAATCTCAGTCAACCAGGTGGGCTGACCAAAGAATATGATGCTAATGATATATATTACATTTAGTACTGGCCCTTAAACATCTTAGAGTCTTCCTGGTCCATGGTAAGATGGGCTTGAGATGATTTCCACAGCAAGTTGGTTTTTGTGTGTTGAATGTGGTGGAGAACAAGGTCAAAAGAAGCTAGAGTCTGAATAAATGTTTGGAATACTCTGCTTCCAGATTTTCATCAGTTGTTTGTTTTTCAAGGAAGAATTAAGTTTGTTTTCCATTGGGCTCTCAGATTTGACCTATTAGTTAAATGCATTGTTTTGCTGTCTAGTAGACTGGGATGAAATCCTGTTAACATAATACATTTCAGAAGATCTATAAGAATTCAGTTTATTGTATCTCAGAGACTTCACACGAAGAAGAAAATTGTCAACCTTCTGAATGATCAGAAGCCTTCATTAAAGTCAGAGACATTTCAGGGAAAAACACAAAAGCCTTCACAACAAAATTAATTGCATTAAACATCAAATAATTAGAATAAAATTTTATATTTTGAATAAATGATTTTTAACAAATATTCAATGTTTGTTTTTAGAAATTTCTTTCCTGAGGAAATGTGTCAGTTTCAGAATTGAAGAAAATAAAATCCTCACCTACAAAAACT